GAGTCACCATGCCTGGCCTACTACTAACATTTTGAACCAGATAATTCTTTGTTGTGGGGGCCTGTGCATCATAGGATGGCTAGTAGCATCTCTGGCCTTCACCCATTGGTTGCCAGTATCATTCCTCCCCCTCAGTTATGATAATCAAAAATATCTCCAAATGTTGCCAAACGTTGCCCTTAGGGTAGAAGGGGGCAAATCCATCCCCCTGCCCCAGAAGAACCACTGCTCTAGCTTAAGCCACCATGTATATTGTTTCTTAGTACTTTACAAATACATAAACCACTATTCAGAGGAGAAAAAGAGCAAGAACCAAACACAAGATTCCAGGATAGTATGGTACAACGATAATACCACCCTATCTGCAGTTATTTATCACTAAACAACGCACTAAGCACTTTTATAGCACTTAAATCTCCTTTCATGGCCTCTGAATGCATATTGGAATCTAATCCTGAGTTAATCTACCTCAAAATTAAGAACACTACTGAGAGATCCACCTGTTTCACCTTCTCCAAGAAATTGAGGGAAAAGAACATGGAGTGAAATTCATATTGATCCTTAGCCCCATAAGCCATTAGAAGAAACTTTCGCTAATGCATAATCATAAAAAAGCACCTTATGTGAATTTCTGGTGGGTGAAGCCTGTCTTACACCTCTCTCTAAGATAGCCAGGTGTGGTGGCGCATTCCTGTAGTCCCAGCTAAGATAGAGGTATAAGACACAGGTTTGCCTAAACACAGAGCGTTCTCATTAAATGTTCAACCTTTCATGATACATTAACTATTTCATAGCAACCCCTAATCACTTGATTAAAATTAAGATAAAATCATTTTCCCATCTTGCTAATTCATACATATTTAATAAAATTTATACATTTTTTTAAAACAAGGTCTAGCTCTGTCACCCCAGCTAGAGTGCAGTGATGCAATCATAGCTCAGTGCAACCTTAAAACTCCTGGGTTCAAGTGATCTTCTTGCCTCAGCCTCCCAAGTAGCTGGGAATAGAGGAATTCGCCACCACACCCAGCTAATTCTTTAAATGTTTTTGTAGAGACGGGGTCTCCCTATTGCCCAGGCTGGTCTTGAATTCCTGGCCTCAAGCAATCCTCCAGCCTCAGACTCCCAAAGTGCTAGGATTACAGGCATGAGCCACTGCACCTGGACAAAATTTATAAACTTGAAAAAAATTAATGTTGATGTTTACAGAGGAGCTGAGAACTTAGTACCAGGCTAATCTTCTCTATAAGTTAAAAAACCAAGCAGAACAAAACTCACGTTTGAATTGAAAGGAATGTTTACCAGAATCATTCCTTTCAACGCATGCCAAGAAAACTGTAGCTTTTTCGTTAGAATAATGTTTTCATTGGATCAAGGAAAAAAAATTATAGGAGAGGCTTTTAAACTTTTTTCCTTCAGATTTTCACTACCACATCAATCTTTTATACCTAATACACAACCATAACAGGAATGTTCATTCTTCAAAAAATACAAATTCAAAAGAAAGTAACTAATTGTGGTTTTTTGTAAGGTCACCCTTTAAAAACTCCTAAGAGGCCAGGACAGCAAAAAACAAAATGTTCTTATTTACATAGTTAGCTGCAAAGCCCAGCTGAAGGGAATATCATTACCTGGGAAATGATAAATTTCCACATGGCTTCATGTCAGTAAATAATTTTCCTAACAAAAATAGCTAGACTCAATTGAGCACACACTCAGTGTTCTACATGCATAAATCTGATGTCATCTTCATCGCAGCCCCATGAGGCACATAGCCATGAGTGGCTTCAATTTAAAGTAAGAAAACTGAGGCCAAAAGGCATGAAACAACTTGCCCAAAACCACAGCTAGATCAAGATTCAAGCTGTGGCTATATGAAGTTTCAAGCTATATAACCTGAAAAAAACTGGGAATTTAATAAAGGAATATGTTCAGTTAATTTTTTACACTATGTGTCATGGAATACTAAAGTTGAAATGAATTTTCAGAAATCACTCGCTTCCCCTTCTACCAATCCTTTCACATCCAAAAGTCAAGCACCAGGCATTACCTACAGCTGGCGCAAATGGCTTCCTGGGTACTTTCTGTTTTGCTTTCTGTAAAAATCCACAGTGATGGAAGCTGCCTAGTAATGAGTATGAGGAAGGGGGCAAGAAAGATTTTCTCTAGCCCAATATGCCATAAGCTATAACCATGAAGTGACAGAACCAATTATTTTACACACACACTAGAGTATAAACACCAAAATGTACTTTGTACTTCAAAGTACTATAGTCAAGTTTTTGAGGAGTCAGAAGTTATATCTGAGGCCTGGGGCAGTGCCTCATACCTGTAATCCCAGGACTTTGGGAGGCTGAGGTGGGAGGATCACTTGAGGCGAGAAGTTCAAGACCAGCCTGGGCTATATAGTGGGACTCCTGTCTCTACAAAAAATTTTTAAAAAATTAGCTGGGCATGGTGGCGTGCACCTGCAGTCCCAGCTACTCAAGAGGCTGAGGCAGGAGGATTGCTTGAGGCCAGGAGCTGGAGGCTGCAGTGAGCTATGATCATGCCACTGCACACGAGCCTAGGTGACAGAACAAGACCCTGTCTCTAAAAATAAAATAAAAATGACACCTGAATTTTTTACCGTGCAGGGGGTTGGTGCCCTAAACCCCGAGTTGTTCAAGGATCAACTGTAATTACTTTCCAATCCTAAACACATACACCATACCTTTACTGGATGCCCCTTTGCAACTGCCAGCCCTTCAAGAGAATTTTCATTACTTTAATGGACATACTTCATATTACAACCTCCATTCCCCACCTCAGAAGCCCAAGTTAGCCCCATAAGGTGTTCGTTTCTTCCCCAACTGAGGAAGGTTTGTCATCACCGAGACAATTCAGTAAATGTGTTGCAAACTCTGAAGGCAACTCCAAAGCAGGCACTCCAAAACTATTCTCAGCAATGACAGCATCACTAGAATTAGTACACAGCTTGCCAAAAGAAGGCTTTTGAAGGGGAGAAATACTCATTTGAATGCATAAATACTGGCATATTTATTTTAGCATTTGGATAAAGAATTGGAAGCATCAGCTAGCTTTATGTCCAAGTGAATAAATACATTGCTGCAATAATGATAATGCAGATTTTGGTGCAAGGTTCTGACTACTCAATAAGGTATACATACCCCCTTAATGAAAAAAAGCTTGTCCTGAAAGGATATTTGTAAAACTGATAAACCGCTTTGCCATTAACTTGCATAATTATTGAAGAGATTCCCTTTTCATGAAGCAAAAAACAAAACAAAACAAAACAACAACCAGATTCAACAAATGCTAGATGCCAAAATAACACTTGTTTCTCCCAGGAAGTTCAAGTCTCAGTGTGCGTCAGAAGATAGACCTACCTGCACAGCCCAGAAGGAAAGAGGGAGAGGGCATTCTCCCACCCCCTAAAATCCAAGTATCTTCCAATGGAGAAATCCACTTATTGGGATTCCCAAGCCCTGAGTCTTTGTGGGTTAACTGTTACACCAAATAATTAAACTAATTACCATAATTAACAATTCAGTATAAACTAATATAAAATAGTCAACATGATTTAACTAATTGAGGGGAGTCATGCACCCAGGACAAACAACAGGAAAAAACCAAAAAAAAAAAAAAAAAAAAAAAACAGACCATGCCCATGTCATTTGTTTCTAGATACACACTTGGATACCCACCGAGATCCTACGCAGTTTGGCTCCCTTCCAGCTGACCTGGTCAAGGGTGCAGCAGCTCATGGGTGGGTACCAGCTGTGGGTAATCTCAACAGGGCAGTCAAGGACAATCTGCCTTCCACGCAGGTAACTCCTGTTAACTTCAGTAAAAGGATCCCTCACTGATACAAACAATCCCAAACTGTACAATAATACTCCTTATGTTTACTCCACTGTGGAATGCAGCGTATTTGTGGGCGTTTTTGTGTGTGTGTTTGCGTTGCCGATTTTCGTTTTTGACTCAGAAACTGTCTCTCACAGAATACAGAAGTAGTGCCTGGACCGCCCACAGGGGCACGCGGAGCTGCGGTGCCCTGGCTGCTTCCAGATCCCCGCAAGGGGTTGGCGAGGTGCACAGCCAGGTACGTACCCAAGACTGACGGGGCACGCTGAGTGCAGAGTCCCTATCCGCCCCCGACCGGGGTTGCCCAGTCTTGTGCTCTCGAGGTGTCCACGCCCCTATTCCAGCGCGGGCGCTGCGTCCCCCTGGCTGCGACCTCCCCCGTGTCTCTGCCCCACCAACCACCTCCGACACCCCGCCGCCGCGTTCCCATCTTCCCCAACAGCTCCCCGGTCCCTGCCCTTTAACCATCTTCCCCCACCCTTCCACCCGGTTCTCAGCACAACTCCGCTTCTCGCGCCCACCCTCCCAGAGAACCCCCCTCCATCTTTCCAGGGAGAAGCGACAAGCCTCGCCCCACCCTACTCTTTCCGGGGCTCCCCTCCCGCCCGGGGCTTCCTCTCTTTTGCACTCCCCTCCCGGGTTCCGGCCCCTCCGACCTAGGGAGGGGGCCCCAAGAATGCGGACAGGGAGCCCCTCGTTCCGCCCTCCCGGACTCCCCCACGTCGCTGTCCTGGCTCTCCCGCCCTCCCGGCTCGGCCCCCACCAGCGACATCGCGGTCCTGACAACCCCCCTACCCGCAGCTCTCCAGGATTGGGTGCCGGGGCTCCCCAACATGGCAATCCTAACACCCCCCCCAGCGCTTCCGGGCTCCGGTCTCCCCAACATCAGGGTCCTGACCCACCGTCCTCCCTCCGGGCTCGAGTTCCGATACTCCCCAATATCAGGGCCCTAACCCCAATAAGGACTCGGGTTCTCCAACACTGCGGTTCTGAACCTCCCCTCCGGGCTCGGGTACGGGGGCTCCCCAGTGTCACGGTCCTGCCATCCCTGCCTCCCCAGGTCGGGCCCCGGGGCTCCCCGCGGTCCTGATGCCCAGCTCGACCCGCTTCGCGCCTCGGGCGGCGGGACTCACCGGCAGGGGCGGCGGCCGAGCCCGTGCGCGCAGTGCAGCCCGGCCCGGCCCAGCCCAGCCCGCGCTCCGGCTCGGGTTCCCGGCTACGAGCTTCCCGCGGGGACTGCGACCGCGGCGGGCTCGGCACGGGGGAGCGGCCGGGAGGAGGCGACCGCCAGTGGCCGGGGACGCCCGGCTCCGCCCCTTCCCGGCCCGGGGGCGGGATGCGCAGACCCGCGCGCTCACCGCGGCCGCCCGCGCCGCCGCCGCCGAGGAAGTTGACTGACGCCGCTTCCTTCCACCCGGGGCTCCGACCCTCGCAGCCCCTTTCAACCGCTAAAAGCCCGAGAGTTTGAGAAAGACACGCGTTAACCGCCCTCGTATTCTTTCCAAGAACCCACCCCAGGGGGCCACTTCCCAAGTCCCTCGGGAAGGGGAAAAAACAACAAACTTCTTCTGCGATGTTAACACTGATTCAAATTCTGGCCTTATTTCTCTCACCATCCTCCTGTGAACATTCAGGGTCATGACCATGAAGTAAATCACGTGATGACATACCACGAAGGCCCTTGCAGACACGCACACTTTCACACTCCCCTGAGATGCACCATACAAGACCCATGACTCACCTGACTTCGCATCACACACACGCACATCTTACGCTGTCATGCCAAGGAGCCCACTCTACCCCTGCATCCTCAATCCACAGCGCTCTAGTGGGTCCTCGCCGCAATGACCCACACGTACAAGCAAGGGTGGGGGAAGTGGGGGTGGGGGGGATTCCACACCCCCCCACCCCCCACCCCTGACTTGCTCTTCACCCAAAATACTCTCTGTATTTTACCATCAAAAAAACAATACACTTAAGAAGTAGGGACATCCATTAACAAATCAAATTGACTTTGCTGTTAGAAAGCTATCTTCATTATTTGGAGAAAAGAGAAGGCAGATCCTGGGAAGATGGCCTGCACCTAAATTACTGTCAGATTTTCTGAGACAATCAGGCCTAATTCTGATCTGTTCGTTCCCAGCATTTTCTCTTCTACCACTCTGTTTGAGTGACATGTCTACCAACGTCTCACAGTTATACGATGTTTTTACTTCTCAAAATATTTTAAAATTTATTATTTTATTTATCTGCTGCAAAACATCATGAAGCAAAAAAAGTAGGTCATCTAGCAGGATTATTTCAATTCCATAAATGAAGACATTTAGACTCTGAGCAGGTACATGGCAGGATTGAAGTTGAGTCAGAACCAGGAAAGAGCCCTGGGTCCCGTGTTCAGGGTCCCTGCTCTCCCCAGGGAATCACAGTCCAGGGCACATAGACACTGGTGGAAATGTCACAGGCGGCCTTTGGCAGCTTTGCCCCCTGCGTCTCTGCTTCACCGGAAAACGATCAAGGATCTCTCCCATATCCTCAAACACTTGAATGGTAAATATTGAGAAACGTTCATTTTTCAGCCAGATCACAATTGTATTATACAACAGAGCTGATTGAGAGAAGGTGAAAACTGCTTTGGGCCACTCTAGAAACAAAATTGCAGGTCAGCAAATCTGAGGCCCACCCACAGCCTCCATCCAACTAAAGTGAGCTGTGGGGTGAGAACTGATGAGCATGTGAAATGCATTCTTGATTATTCTGGCAATGTTTTCTCCCCCTGAGAGTTCCTTCATGTGAAGTGTGGAGAAGTCTTAAAAGGAGACTAACAAATCCTCTAATCCTTTCTGCAATAACAAATGTTCCTTTCTTCTTGCCTTTTGGGCAGATGTGAATGTGCATGTAACTGTGTTAGGCATTGTTATCTGTGCACAAGAGGGTTCTGTTTACAAGTGATACTGTCCAGAGCCACTAGATAAAAATGGTGGTTTTTCATCTTTCATGCCTTTTAAAACAACTTGGGTCTCGCGCTAGCTTCTTCCATTTCTGCTGTGAGGTGATGGCCTACTTCAGTTTGGGCAGTAAAAGTGATGTTTTGGTAACTCTAGAATAAAGAGTTTTTCCTAGAGTGACCTTGCTATTTTTGAATCATAATAAAAGTCTGTTGGATCCTTTATAAAAGACAGTCAGGATGGCCGTTGGTATAGGGAAATTCACAGCCAACTTTCCTCCATGTGACACTCCATCTGGCAACAGAATTTTGACCTGAGATTTTTCCAAAAGCTGGAAACAGGCAAGATCTTGGATGTTGCAGTATTTCCTCAAAAAGGAGGACGTTAAACTGCTAATCCAATCAGCATTCTACAAACACCATTTCCCTTTCAGATTGTCCTTGAAAGCCACAGACACAGCAGTATGCAAAATGATGAAAAAATAGATAAGAAAGATTTAGGAGCTATTTTTGTCCCAATCTCTAATGAAATAATTTAATCTATTTTACGTTGGATACATACCACACTGACACTGTTTTTATAAAACTTCTACTTTGTGTTTACATAGCTTCACTTTTCCAAGAAACTCGAAGTGCATGTGATGACATCGTATTACTGAACTTCATACATTTGTGTGAAGTAGGAAGGGGGTAGAAACTGTTAGCCTTATTGCAACACAGAGAAATGAAGTATGATTTGCCTGAAACATCCTGATATATACTGGTTTATACTGGTCTATCCTAAAAGAAGACCTACTACGAGACCTACTTGTGAAAACTTATACAATAAATAAAGTTGTTTAAAAGCTCTAATTATTGTTTTGTTTTATTTTTCACATCTATGGAAGGACTGAGGGCCGTTAATTTCTTCACTATCTTGGCAGGGAAGAGGAGAGGCACTTTGTATAGTGGTTAAAAGTGTGGGCTTGGAAGTCAGACCATCCTGCGTCTGACACGTAGTCTTTGGTAAGTAACTTAATCTTTCTGTGCTTCAAGATCCTAACCTGTAACATGGAAATAATAATTATACCCACTTCATCTAGCGATTGCTAGAAGTAAATGAAATAATGCACATTACACAATTAGCATTGAGTCCATCACATAATGAGGGCTTGATAAATGTGAGTGAGAAGGCAAAGGCTTGATTTAAGTGGTTGCTAATAGGATCTTTGTTCCAATACTTTCTACTTGAAAAAAAAATATTCACTGGACTGTGTGAGAGGAATTTGGGGAAACTTGAATATATTTTTTAACCCTAAAGCCAAATCTATTCATTCCTTGACATTCCATGATCTTTTCTACTTAGATTACCTGCCAGCTGGCTGACCGCATAAAGGAGCCATGATACTAATTTCTCAGATTTCACATACAGGATGCTAAAGAACTATTCTTGAGTCAGATTAAAAATAGCAATTTTCTTGCATTTTGTGTCTGTTTTATCTCAATTAATGGTAGAATGATAGGGGCTCACTAAAAGCTAATTTGATTTTCATCTGGAGCTGTTCACACCTTATTTTTTCCTTTTTATTTCTCAATAATAAACAATTAACAATTGAGGGAGCAAATCAATTAACACATGTAGACAAAAGAGAGAAGACGCAGAAATTGCTCCTGGGACTTCAGTAAGCCTGAGCACATTTGAGGTGGTGAGGCCTTGTATCTGATCTCCCACTTTCTGATTTAACTAGTTGCCGGTTGAAGAGTTTCAGACAGCAAACTCTAAGGGTGAATGATAAAGTGACCAACCAGGAGCCTTTCATATTATTATTATTTTTAAGCCTTATCTAACTTATTTAATTTTTATTGATATATAATGATTGTACATATTTATGGGGTGTATGTAATGTGATGTTTTGATACATACATACAATGCGTAATGAGCAAATCATAGTATTTAGGATATCCGTCATTTCTTTGTGTTGGGAACATTTCAGATCTTCTAGCTATTTTGAAATATATACTTTATTGTTGTTAAATATAGTTTATTGGTAACTATAAATATAGTTACCAAATATAGTATGGTAACTATAAATATGGTTACCATACTGTGCTATCAAACAATAAATTTTTTTTTTTTTTGGGGCAGGTTCTCACTCCGTTGCCCGGGCTAGAGTGCCCTGGCGTCAACCTAGCTCACAGCAACCTCAAACTCCTGGGCTCAAGCAATCTTCCTGCCTTAGCCTCCTGAGTAGCTGGGACCACAGGCATGTGCCACCATGCCTGGCTAATTTTTTCTATTTTAGTTGAATGGCTAATTTCTTGCTATTCTTAGCAGAGACAGGATCTCTCTTTTGCTGGTCTCGAAATCCTGACCTCAAGCACTCCTCCTGCCTCAGCCTCCCTGAGTACTAGGATTACAGGTGTGAGCCACCATGCCCAGCCACAAACAATAAAACATATTCCTTCTATCTAACTGTATGTTTGTACCCATTAACCAACCTTGTTTCATTTCCCCTCCCCTTCCCAGCCTCTGGTAACCAACATTCTGCTCTCTACCTCCATGAGGTCAACTTTTTAAGCTCCTTCGTATGAGCGTGAATGAGATCATGCAGTATTTGTCTTTCTCTGCCTGGCTTCTTTCACTTAACATAATGACCTCTAGTTCCAACCATGTTGCTGCAAATGACAGAATTTCATTCTTTTTTATGGCTGAATAGTATGAATAAAATAATGGAGGATGTGCTACAATAATAGACCACTCAATTTTTTAAACTGTTAACTCAAATTAAACTGAAGTAAACTGAGTTGAAGAATTTTTAGCCTATTGAAGAAGCATACTGGATAGCTCAAACTAAAGTAAAATTCTCCTCCTTCATTCTCCCTCCCAATTAAATTAAATTTCTCTGATTACCCTTCCCACCAGCCTGGGATCCTCTGGCCCTAAAGATATCCAGGGAGGACCTTGGAAGCTACTCTGGGTGTGAAGATCCAACTTTGTTGGGTCTTTCTCCCCAGATGTGCCCGGAGAGCCTCCAAAAATCGCCTGACAGCCTGAGAGTTTTGACCAGAGCCTTAGAATCCTGGCAATGCCAAAAGGAAGTTCCAGTAGGAGGCTTACAAGGCAAGTAGTCCCTGTGATAAGATATGATGACTAAGGACTGACTAACTTAACTAGGGTCCCTGTAGGAGATGAAATACCGTACCATCTTCAAAAACCACTTAGACCCATGGCACAGAGAAACGTGCAATCTGTGGTTCTATTGTTTAGTAAAACAGAACAGGTTACAGTGCAGTGGATCCAATTT